ATTGTTGCTTTTGAACAGATACTTTTGTAATATTTATCAAATTGTATCACGTTAGACAATGACATGGCATAACCTTTGAATTAGGAAATATTGAATCTATTTATTCAGAAAAACAGATTTAACGGGTTTTAGTTTGTTAATACAAATTACTCACAGCTTTGAATGTTTGCTTGTCCACAGAGCCTGCAGGCGCCGATAATAATTGTCATCGGTGAGTCACCTCTGCCTTACTGTGAAAATGTGTGCACACAATGCTTATTTTTACCATTTGACTATCATTGCAAGTTAAGTGCTGTTCAGTGAGTGTCACTGAGGTTCCCTACAAGAAAAGAATTAACAAATGAGGCTGTCAGTTTGTAAGTTCAAACAAAAGGCATGAGTTGGATTTGTTGAAATTGGTGTTGCATGCTTGTCCACCTTTGTTTTTTAATGGCTGAATAATGACTAAACATTTGTCCATTCTCTGGTCTCTTGCTGCTTAAGTGTGCATTAACGATTTGACCACATCTGTCAGTTCAGGGTTAACCTCTACCTTCACCTTCCACTTCATTAAAGTAATTTATCTTTCCACTTCTGATCATCATATTCACTTCATTCATTAGAGCCCACACTTCTGACACCACTTGTCAGTTTGACCGGCAGTATCTTTTAGGTTCAAACAAAAGGCATCTTCCACAAACTAATAAAATACAATAAAGGTAATGAAACCACTTGTTTTCCCTGCAGAGGAAGATATACTTTTATATCTGACTGCCAGCAATAATGTCCAGGCTTTGGTTATCTATGCTTTTCAGAAAAGACTGTAATGGAACATGGTATGACATCAAAGAGGCTACATGCTGTGAAAACAGACTTCACCCTGGTGCAACCCTGTCTTGTTGTGGAAATGAGCCTTACAGTCCTGGAACAGCCACTTGTTGTAAACAGCAACACAGACACACAGTCACAGGTAATAAAGTTATAAGATAGAAAACTGGAATGTAAAAAAATATATGTATAGAATAGTAATATTAAAAAGTCTGTCAATAAATGTTCATCAGCTGGTATTAAAATAGGTTATATGTTTCCATCTATTCAGATCTATTCTTGAAGGTCTTTTTCTCACTTCTGAGAACATTTGTGTATCACTCAACCTTGCATTATGGGTATTAAGCAGATAAAGGTTTTTCTTTTTTAGCAAACAAAAAACTGCTAGACACCTACAGTGCTGATGTGATGGTTAAGAGGGAAAGCTTACACTATTTTGTTGCAACCATCATAGAGTACGGGGAGATGTGAGGAAACAGAAGTACAGTGCATCAGGAAAGTATTCATAGCTTCTTCACTTGTTCCACATTTTGTCATATTGCAATCTTTACCAATAGATTAAATTCATTTTCACCCCAACATTCTACACCTAACACCCCAAAGTGACAAAGTAGAAAAATAGTTTGCCTGAAATTCTTGCAAATTCATTAAAAATAAATAAAATAAATGATAACATATACAAGTATTCACATCCTTCACTCAATACGTTTGAAGCTCCTTATTGAGTCTTTTTGAGTATGATTTTTAGACAGTTTGTCATATTATTCTTCCCAGAAACTCTTAAGCTCCATTGGGTTAGACAGGGACCATATGTACACAGTCATTTTCAGATATGTACAATTAGATTTAAATCTGGTTTCTGATTTTCCCAATTAAAG